GCTGACGGGAGGCCACCGGCCCCCCGGGCGCGCTGTCTGCCAAGCTCCCAGTCCCCACCACGGGAGGTCAGGCCACCGCGGTGCAGACACAGCACAGACAGCGCTTGCCAAACGCTGCCAGCCCAGCCCTGCCCCGCGCACTCCCGCCCGAGGTGGCACGCCGCACCCACAGTGCACGGGACAGCCCAGAGTGTGTGCGCCTCCCTCCCCTGGCTCTGGGCTCCCCGCTGTGCCTCCCCCCAGCAGCAGGGAGCAGGGAGCCACGGGCCAGCAACGCTGAGTTGTGCCAGCCTCCGCTGGCAGCACCTGGGCTTCGGGCTCCAGCCAACGGCGCTCAGCCCTGCAGGTCCAGGTTCAGGGCTTCACGCTGGGGCCATCGCGTAGCAGTGGGGCCTCCAGCCAAGGTGTGGCAGGGCAGGGCTCCCCGCTGTGCCTCCCCCCAGCAGCAGGGAGCAGGGAGCCACGGGCCAGCAACGCTGAGTTGTGCCAGCCTCCGCTGGCAGCACCTGGGCTTCGGGCTCCAGCCAACGGCGCTCAGCCCTGCAGGTCCAGGTTCAGGGCTTCACGCTGGGGCCATCGCGTAGCAGTGGGGCCTCCAGCCAAGGTGTGGCAGGGCAGCCATGGCTGTCTAGCCTGCCTGAGACACCCCATCCGCCCCACGCCCCGTCGGCGTGTGAGCAACCCAGCCCGTAACAGCAGCCACAACGCTGACACAGCTGGACAGCGGCTAGTGCGGTGCACCCGGCGGGGTGTACAATGCACTCTGGGCCTCCAGCCCTCACGGGGAGTTCTGCCTGATTTTATCCGGCCCACGCCAGCGTCACGCTGACAAAACTTGCTATCGAGGAGGCAGGGTCAGGCCCTTTTCTTCCATAAAGCACATGGCACCGGAGGTGACTCTCCCTGGGTCGTTGCTTTGATCACCTTGGCACAGGGGGACTTGAGAGGGGTTAACGTGTCCCCCGAGTTCTTCCTTTTTGTGTCCCCAAGTGTTCACATCGCTTGTTCACAGCTGGCCGAGCGGCAGCTACACATCATTTCCCTGCCGTGTTCCACCACTTACCCAGCTGTACCCCACCGAGCATTCGGTAACTACGGCCGCTGTCCGTGGGCCCGTTTGTGCCTCGTGGCCTCCCTCCCGTCCTGGTGTTGGGCCATATCTCCGCTGGCAGGTGGCAAGCCGGCACTGGCAGTCACAGCACCGTGGGGAAAACACCCCTGGGTGTCCACAGACTTGCCGCACCGCACAGTGTGGTGCATTCTGGGCAGCTATCCCACAGTGCACTGCTCCCTCATCGGCCACTGAGGTGGGAAGGACGGGACATGGGGCATCTGGGTCCTGTCCCAGTGCCCCGTGGTCCCTCGCTCCACATGCCAGCAACCCCGTGCTTCCGTCCACATTTGGCGCCATCGGCCAACAGCGTCTGTGCTGCGCACTCGGCGCCTCGTCTGCCGGAACCGACCCCAGCGCGTGGAGACGATGCGGCTGGGGGGCCTGCTCTGTCGCCTTGCGTTCTACAGGCCCAAGGGATGGGCTGCCAGGCCCTGCCTGGCCTCGCTGAGTCCGGGCTGCCCTGGCGCCAGTGTCGCTGCCGTACTGTAGTGCGAAGCCAGGTGTCCAACACCAAGGACGCGCAGTGTTATTTCAAAAAGTGCCGCTGCCGCCCTGAGCCAGACTAGCAGCCTTCTCGGCAGCTGCACCTGGCTGCTTGGTGAGAACTGTAAATCCCAGCCTCTCCCTGTATCAGTCGGACTGGCCCTGTAGCTGTGTACACCCGTTATCTTGTCTGTTAATAAAGCGTTCCACACGGACGCCTGGTGCTGGTGATTTCTTGGGTGTGGGTCCACCTGAGGCTGGCTCTTCGGAGTAAGTTTTCCAAGTTCCTTGTTCAAACAGCCACAAAAGGAGTGTCCTCGAAGGACCCTTTTCCGTGTGCTCTGCAGGCCTTCTCGGGTGGTCCAGGGGCCCTGGGCAGCACGTGCTAAGGAACATGTTGTGGCTGGGAGGGATGTGGAGGATTTGGGGTGTGTGGCTAGGACACTGGGTGGGAACTAACGGAGCAGGGTAGGCTGGGTAGGACTGTGCTGGGCACTGGGGGAAGGAGCTGGCTGTCAAATCACGAGATTGTGTAACCATAATAGAATTGCTTCGCGTTTTATTTGCCTTCTGCTCTTGGGGCCCGGCGGGTGCCCTGGGTCACAACTGCAAGGTCCCGAAACACAGGAAGGCGAGACGCATCCCAGAGCCACGCGGCTCCGAGCTGGCACTGTGAGGCAAACTAGCATCTGTATGAGACTCAGGACAAAACCGTGAGCATGGGCAATGCTTGGCCAGAGGCAGCCCCTGCCCCTCAGCCTCCTGGCCAAAGCACCTGAGACCAGGGATCCCCAAACTGCAGGGGCGGGGAGAAATCCCGAGAGTGGCTCATTTTCTCCTCCATGTCCTACAGCCAGTTCTCCAAGCACTGCTCAGTCTAGCTAGGCCAGGGTCTTCTAGCATCCCTCCCGCCCCGCCTCTGCCGCACTGCGACGCCTCACACAGCCGTCCTCCAGCCAGGGCGTAACACCCAGCAGGGCTGTGAACGAGCAGCTCTTGAGAAAACACCACCTGCAGCAAACAGAGCATCTCCCGGCTCCCGGCACCCGGGGCGAGGCTGCCATCCAGGCCACCGCGCTGGGACCATCGTCAGCACCCAAAGGCAGAAAGCCAGGCAGCGCCGTGACCCTGCCGTCCTCGCGCACTGACGCTCCCCGGCCAGAGCAGCAGCTCTTAGTGCCCAACCATGGCAGGAAATGTAATTCACATTCCCCCTTGGTGAGCACGCGCATGCAGGCCAAAGACCCGTCTTCCCCCGGAGCTGCAGTGGCTGGGCCCAGACTGCTCCAGGGTGACGCTCGGGTTGCTGTCAGGCTATGAGCTGAGGCATCGTGTTCGGTTCCAGCGAGCGCTGAGCCGTGCATGGTGAAAGGCCTGTTGCTCTGGGCTGACTTGGCCCCGTTGCCAGTGACAAAGGGTCACATCCCAGGCGGTGGGTAACGTAGGCAAGGGGAGGCACAAAACAGCCTGCACACCCGGCCGCAGCCCTGAGCCTTCAGGTGGGCGGGGCTCGGCTCCAGGGGCGGGCCTCAGGCAGAAGGGGCGGGGCTGGGGCTTGCTGCCCTCCAGTGCCCTTAGCAATGCCCCACAAGCCCCTTTAGCAGAGAAAGACACCCCAGTGGCAGCTGGCCTAGGGCTGCACAGGCTGTTATGACGTGAGACCGAGGCCACAGGCCCAGGGTGCCAGCTCCTTCCCTCGAGACAAGCCAGGCTCAGGACAGCTGGTCGGCTGCCCAAGGGGATGTGCTGGGGCTGGCGGAGAAAGTTCAATTCAAGCTGAATGCCCCACAAGCCCCTTTAGCAGAGAAAGACACCCCAGTGGCAGCTGGCCTAGGGCTGCACAGGCTGTTATGACGTGAGACCGAGGCCACAGGCCCAGGGTGCCAGCTCCTTCCCTCGAGACAAGCCAGGCTCAGGACAGCTGGTCGGCTGCCCAAGGGGATGTGCTGGGGCTGGCGGAGAAAGTTCAATTCAAGCTGCAGCATTGAGCATCCCAGCAGGAACGGGGGGATTTTTTCAATTGTGCAGATTAAGCCTTGTTAGGGCATAGACACCCGCCCACCCCCT